TCTTCTTTTTACTATTTTTGCTTCCCGAATAAAACGTAAGACGGTTGGGACATTATAGTTTAGATAAATCATTAATAATTCATTTTGACCATATAAAATTCTTTTTTTCACAACATTTCAGTTATTAAGAAAATATCTTAAATACATATATAGTAATTTTGGTATTTGGCAATTAGAATTTCTATTTACTTTCTTATATGTCAAATAGTTAACCTATCATCATATTTGTAGCTTATGGGTATGAGGGAAATAAGATTTATCATCTTGTGTAAATAAGGAAAATCTTTTAGAATAATTTGTTTTATTGCTTAATTAAAAAAAAAAAAGAATTCCATAGCACAAATAAACCAAACAACATTACTTGGCAGGCAGAAAAATGATTTCTACAAGCATTTTCTTACGTTTCATTTTCTTCTTTATTTAACTTCAGTTGTTTTTGTAGACACTGCAAAAATATTTCCTGAAACTGATCTTACAGAAAATATTTGTTTCATAACATTCTTTTTAACAATATGTATTGAATCTGACAGTTTTTCGACATTTGAACGTGTGTGATAAAAACTTGTCGTAAATCATTTGTGAGTCGTGTTTTTGATTTCGCATCTAAATACTTATCTATAATAGATTTAACTTGTCAAAGGTTTAACCTATAATGATAACCTAGCATTAAAACAGTAAAGATATGTCATTTATAATTTTTCACAGCACAGTTTGTTTCAACAAATAATATTCAAAATCATTCTTCATCTCATTTGTTGAAATTAAACTTTTTTCACGGCAACTAAAAGTATGTATTGCATAATAAAAACAGCATTTATTGACATAATAAATGACATTTAATGTCACTTGTTTTAGTTATTTAATCCCGTTTGATAAATGCAATCAAACTACAGTGTTAAAAATTCCGGATCTAATAAGGGTAACAAGTTACCTCAATCAAAGTTCCAGTACTTTTTGCAGTAAAATTTACCTTTATTTTTATAGCAATATTTACACTGAATCACTGTAATTAAGTGTACATTATTGAAACAATTTCGGTATAAAATTTCGAGGTATGATGGATTTTTACAGTAAAAATAGATTTTACAATGAAAATGGAATTTTACGGAAAAGTGGATTTTAGTTGCTGCTCTCTAGGTATCGATACCTTTTATCATATACTTTTTGAATCTGTTGTTTTTTTAGTAGCCTGGTTAAATTTTTATTACTTTTTTCATACTGTAATTCATAAGTTACTTTATTAAACTATATGAAATGCAATTTTTCTAAGGTTTCTTTCCATTAAATAATATATTTTCAACTAAAATTGAATTAAATCTTTGAACTAAAACAAATATGTTAAAGTTTTAATTTAGGACACAACTGATCATTTGCACTAAACTAACATTTAAAATGCAAAATGCTGGTTTTATAAATGCCCCTCTTATTTAGTCCTTATTAATTTAGGTTTAATTACTTTGACTATTGTGAAGTCACTTATTTTCAAAATGCTAAAACTGCATCGATTTTAAAAGACAAGCTGTCAAAGATATTTTGAAGAAAAAATTGAATAAATGATAAAAATTTCAAATTCACAAATTTTTTTTTCTCTTCTTTCAAATAAAATATTATTTATTTATTTGAAAATCTCATAAAATAGAAAAAGTTCGAATGATATTTATGTAAAAAAAAAAAAAATTTTTTTTTTTATGTGGAAACTAATAAAATGAAAGATTTTGTTTTTGATTTATTCACTGTTTATTTTAAAAGAGAATAGGAAAATAATTTAAGTTGATTTTAAAACGAAATAATTTCTGTCAAAAATTTTTTTTCGATAAAATCTTGAGTACGAATATGTAAATCTTAATAAATTTTTTAAATTAAAAAATGTTTTATTTATTTTTAGTGAGTACTTATAAAATTAAAAATTTGTTTTAAATCCACGTACTCCTTATGATGAAGGAGAATAAAAGAATGAAAGATCTCGAGAAGAAGAATTGGTTCAGTAAAGGAGAATAATGTGTGGAGAATAAGGTATAGTTTGTCTACGGTAAGAACTCCTCCCACCATAAAGTCTGAGGCCGTCTGTTGCTATGTAAACAAGAATAGCGCATTTTAGGATGGGTAGCTTCTCCTTACTCTACGGCTAACACAATAGATCGAAGAAAAAGATTCCCTTTTCCTCGCCGACCCCATACCCCTACTTGAAATAGTTATACCTTGCTTCCATAGTCACTGCAACGGGTCTAGATGAATGTCTAGGGGAGTTCTTACTTTAGACAAACAATACAACTTTGAATTATACCGAAAAATTAGGCAACCAAATGCAGTGAAGTTCATTAAAATTCAACAGGTGACATGGCTCGGTCGTATATTTAGATATGACAATGAAAACCATAAAGAAAACTTATTACAAGTGAGAAGGAAAAAAAGCGAGGTAAGCCAAGTACAAGATGGTAAAATAGCGTGAAAAAATATTTAAGCAGTGTGGAAGCTAATAGGTGGGGAGAATGGGGTCATATAGATCAAGATGAATAAAGCTGCTTGAGACAGCCACAGCTAGCGATTGGCTGTTGTGCTGGCAGAAGATGATGATGATGAAGAAGAAGAAATGAATAATCTAAGTGCATTGAAAAATAGCTTAGTTCATAAAAAAATGTTTTGTTAAAATTTTAGTGTAAGTCTAAATGGGAATGAATTTTTCATTCAAAAAAGTGTTCATTTTTAAGTGAATGCTTAAGAAATAAAAGATTTAAATTTAGCTTATTTTCTTCTTATGACAAAGAAAATAAAGAAATTATTTCAATGGATTTTAATAATCAAATAGTTTATTTAGCTAGAAATATTCCTGATAAATAATTTTAATGCGAATCTTAATATGAATGATTTGTTTTATTAAGAAATTCCTCTTATTTATTTTTAGTGAATCGTTATAAAATGAAAACAAATTGCTATGAATCTATTTTCATTTTATGATAAAAGAGAATAGAGAAATTATATAAGAAGATCTTGAAAACTAATAATTTATTTCGGAAAAAATAATTTTGACAAGTAATTTAATATGAACTGTAGTATTTATGAGTTGCCTTTCATAAAAAATGCTTTAATTATTTTTAATCTTAAGTTAACGAATGAGGGATTTTACTTTTTATTTATTCTTTTCTTAGAGAATGAAGAAACAATCTAAAATGATAAAGGAATAATCTAAATAGATTTTTTTTTTAAATTGATGCTTTTTTTCTTAAGAAAGGTTTTTGATTTAAGTTCTTAGTGTGAATTCTAATAAAAATGACTTATAACTGCAAAATTTTTTTAAAAGTGAAACTCATAAATTCTTCCAATGAATAGTAAAAGAAATTAGTCTTTCTAATGGCTAATTTTTTTTCTCTCCAAATTATAAGTCCCCTGTCCAATTTAAATTCTTTTACCTATCATTGAACATATTATGAATAAATACGAATAAATTTAAATGTCACTCAATTTGTTTTCAGTTGCAGTTAAATCATCGATAAACATAAATCTAAATTTAGTCAAAGCTCAGTCAGCGGAAATTCAAACGATGTTCGCAATCGTATGTAAGGATTCCGAAAAGAGAATCGATAAGCGAAAATAGCAACAGATTCCAAAAAAATCCTAATACCATCAGCCTTTTCACATCCTCCTGTAATTCCAAGAAAGGTGGAGCAATCCATCAAGCGGACCCCCCATTCTCGACTGGGGTCGGTGGACACTAGCGCCCGCAACGCCCCCACATGTCCGCAGCAGAATCTGGGGGTCCTGACCATATGGTGAGGACAAAATTTTCCATTTCTCTCCTCCTATTAACACTAACGAGTAAATATAGATCGATACAATAAAAACTATCCTTAGTTATTTAAGCAGAAATAGTAATGTTTCTTCAGTTGGCGAAAAATTTAAGATTTATTGATCAAACCTTGGCTACCGTTTTGCACTTGATCATTTTTCATTGCTGTTATAACATCTCGGCACATATTTTTTAAACTTATTCTTATGTCAGCTTGATGATTTATTAAGATTGATCACTATCTTAAAAATTAAATTGAAAAATATTTAATCGAATTTTTCAATGCGTTCAAAATGCTATATTGTACGTGATACGAAAAGTATTGATTAAAAACAGAAATTTTCTTTGAAATAGATAAATAAAGAAGGGAATTTTGTTATTCTGTAGTATATTTAATTATCTGAATTCGATAACCAGATAACATAATTTTAATTAATTGAGAACTGTGTTAAAATATTTTATTAAAATATAAACTAGAAGCCACTTCTCTGTTATGAAGAAATTAACATTTTCTAAATTTTACTGTTATAAAAGAATTTAATGTTAAAATTCTAGATATTAATCTTAATATTCTTAAAAATTAATTTTAAAATTAATAATTTCAAAAAAAATTAAGTTACTTTGAAATTAACTATAAACTTTATTAAAATTAAGCAATCTTTCATGATTATGTAGTCTGTTTGGGAAGAAAAAAACTAACGACTTTTCATGAATTCAAAAGAGAAAAAAAAAATACAGATAATTATTTAAATCCAGAGAATAGCTAAATAAATTCGAAACACATTTCATAAGGTTTAAAAATATGTTGAACAATAGAAATGAAAAGTTATACATTTAAATAATTATTATTCTGAAATAATTATTGTAAATCACGTAATGGTTATGAATAAACAAATAAACAATATGATTCTGGAATATAAACAAAACATCAACAGGTTTCACGATCTGGGCGAACTGCCAACAGCAAGCCACATAAAAAAAAGCTCACCATATGGCAGAGGTCCGAGATACAAGAAGGATCGAACCGCGAAATAATCCTAATCACAATGTTTACTTTTACTAAATTATTGTCACATTACTTATTTTATTCGAATTTACAGAACTATTTCACATATAGCCCTTGCAGTACATGTCCGTATGGTCAACTATATCGGTCTCATAATTTTTTAAAGTTTTGGAGTGAAAAAAAATAGCAATATTTACGATTTTCTCTCACCTTTTGAATGATAAAACATCGAGGGCTGTAAGCGCAACAGATGTAGGTATCCTGTGCTTCGGTCCAGTCTAATCTATGCCCTGGTCCGGAACTGTGATGATGGGGCGTATGGATAAAGTGCTGCGGCCGCCTAGGGTAAACGTTGCGGTAACTGCTGGGCACCACCTCCGAATGCTGCCGACAGGCACCAGAGGGTGACCGACTCCATCTCATCGTCTCTTGCGATGGCTGACTAACCAACTGCTGTTAGCTGGGATGATCGGAAGAGGATGGAAGAGAGTAAAGAGTCCCGCGGTTTTCATCGCCAAGGGAGACCCGCCAAAGCGCGCCGCATCTCGCCATTTTTCTTTTTATTGGGGTGGGTTGTTAACAGGTTTGGATGCGTTTGTTTATGTGATGAAGAACAACAGGTGCAAAATTGGCTTTTAACATCTAGATGGAGATGGCACACGGATTCATTAAATGTTTTTTTTTTGACAGATATGTCAGAAACAAAACGTATATGTTTTTGTGAAATAATAGTTGAAAACGTGCTATTTTTTTTGTGATATGATGGATGATTTTTTTGATACGATTTCAGGTTTTCTATTGATATTTAGCTTTGTTAAAATATATAAAACATAACTTGGAAAAAACTTGTAGACAAAAAAAGCAAAATTTAGTGATAAAAACAACGATGCTTGAAATCATCTTTGAGTTAATTTATTAGTTTTAATTTTCTTCTTCATAAGCAAAAGAAAAAAAAGAGAGTGGAAAATAAGAAATGAGAAAACACACGGAAAGCAACTCGACAATTAATTTTTTTATAAAAAAATATTTCACTGAAAAATTGCACAAATGTAAGTTAATTTAATAAATTAATTTAATTTAATCATTAATTTAATTAATTAATTAATTTAATTTAATTAATTTTGAAATGAGAAATCTAGATTTTTTTTTATAATTTCAACAAAAAGCGCATAATTGAAGAATGGTTTATAATTTTTTTCAAGTTAAAATACATAAAAAATAATTAATTTTATGAACAAACTTAAAAAATGTGCCTTAGTTTTATTTAAAGTTTTCTTGGTGTAAAATTTTAGAATATGAATTTAACACAGAAAGGAAAAAATAATATAGGAGGAAGAATTTACAAAATGGAAATGAATTTTCTGATGTTTATACTTAAAATTAAATTACAACATTAGAGCAAACCCATACAATGTTCTTCAAATTTAGTATATTTCAATGATTTATTTTTCGTTAAGGGACTTCTATAAAAGAGTTAATAGTAAGTTTCTATAAAAAATTGTATGGGATTTCTATAAAAGAGTTTATAAAATTTATCAAACCTTTAGAGATAAGAAAAATCAATAATTTACAAGATAAAGAAAAGAAGTATATGGAAAATGTATTATACGTATTATTTGTGATATATACGTATTATTGAAAATATATTATTTTCTGATATTAAAATATCAAAATATCGCGGAAATAAAATTATTTTTAATACAAAAATAACATTGCTATAAAAATAATATGTTTAATTTTTCGCTTAAATATTTTTAGTTAAAGGATTTTTATAAAAGTAAGTAATAATTTAATTTTACTAACTTTAATTAGTTAATAGAATTCACATTGGTAAAATTTATCAAAACTCTAGAAATAAGAAAAATCAATCATATACAAGATAAGGGGAAAAAAAAGAAAAAAAATGCAATATATATATATATATATATATATATATATATATATANATAAAGTAAGAAGTAAAGCGCAAAGTTAAAGTAAAATAAAGCATGAAGTGGAAAGTAAAGTAAAATGTGAAGTTTCAAACTAAAAGGTAAATTCTAGAGTAACTTGCAAAATAAAAGCTAGGTAAAATAAAGTGAAGCTTAAAGTAAAGCAAAGCGTAATATATATTGTATTGCGTATATTAATTATTGTATATATATATATATATATTAATTTTTTTTAACCCAGATAATAGTGTTTATTATAGATATCACCTTTATTATTCTAATATTGCTGAAATCAGGAAATCAAAGTATTTTTAATGCAAAAATAGTTATTGTTATAAAAATATGTTTTATTATTTCGCTTAATCTATTTTCGAAAAAATTATTCAAATAATTCCAAAATATATTAACACATATAATATGTAAATGTATGTAAATAGATAATACCATTGAAAAATATTTAAATATTTCGATGACTACTTATTCAACACCAACCGATTTCTGAAGCCTTCTCTACCCCTTAAAACCAGATTTGACTTTTCTGCGAGACTTCTTAAGAGGGAGAAAGGTAAATAAGAAGAAGATAAATGCAACCATAGCAAGGAGTGAAGCGGAAAAAGCAACTATACTTATCTGAGCTTTATCGAAAAGTTCGTTGCATAGAAATTAGGAAATTCAGCTATACTCTAGGGATTTGCGTGGATATAATACATCTTCGTGAAAATGAATTCTTCCAAAATAAACTTGGGTTGCAGATTACAAACTTAGACTTTCTCTTCGACAATTTTTTATTTGAAATAAAAGGTATAAATAACACAATTGAATATTGTAATATCTGAGCTGTAATATATTTTTGAAAATTCATTTAAAGCTGAAAAGTCTTTATTTATTATTTGTTTTACGATTTTAATAATGATTGTAGCATTTTGATGTTTCATCAAATTGTAGTGTTAAAAACATTACCATGTATGTTTCTGATTAATTTAAACGCACTCACCCTTAAAAGACTTTGACTTATTCTACTTTTCAAATTGAATTATTCCAGTTTTAGAAATAACGGCTCACATCTGGTAGAGTATAAAAAATTATGTAGCATTCTATTTTCTTATAAATCTAGTTTTTTCTTTTTTCGTTACTTTAACTTACAATTAAGGGAATCAAATATTTTTATATTTCAGGTAAAATGTCAATTTTATTAAAATATTTATTTAAATACTAAAATAGTTTATTGCCACTATTCCAATTTTTTTAGCTTTTCTCCTGAAGTTTAATTGTTGCAAGATCAGTATGAGTTGCATTGCAACACTTAAGAGGTCAAATACTGTTTATCATATTATTGATTGTATGCATTGATAAATATGTTCATGAAAGTAATTTAAATAGTGCTTTATTTATTCTTCCAACAATTTATATTTCGTATTCAGGCTTTTCATAAAATTTACAAAGATATGCATCTTAAAAGTTTTTTCATTTGCAATTATAAGATTTTAAAGATGAAGGAAATGTACTTATTTATTTTCAAATATTGATATAGATTCAAATAGATTCAAAGTATATTTATGATATAAAATGACAAGTATATTATTAAATTTAATTATATTTTGATTAAATTTAACTAAAGTTTTGTTTATAATTTACTGCATTAATAAATGTTCAGAGATTATTGAAAATTTTGATTTAATGTAACAATTTGAAAGTTTTTTAACTGACAAAGCAGTTTGTTATATATTATTGGCCCTCTTGAATCAAATAATCTTGAGCCATTATGGGCTCTCAGGAATCAGCGATTTATTTCTAATTCTTGCATACTAATTCTTGCATTTCTAATTCCTGCATTGTACCTCTATACAGCATTATGCATCTTTAGCTTCTGCATCACTATATTGTAAAATAAATCTGTTAAATTTGCAGAAAAAGTAACTGTCAACTGTTGTGCCAGTATAAAACCATTTATTTCACAGAAATATACGATATTTTAAAAATGGTCGCATACTTTTTAAGCAGATAAATACTGTTATTCTAATTTTTAAAAAAAACTATGTTACTGCAACAAAAATCTCGGTTATTTCAGCAAAAAACTCTGTTATTTTCACACAAAAAACTCTATAATGCATCTATGCCAGCATTGTGGTCTGTGCGAGTCGAGAACAAAATTCGTATGACCAGTCAACATCGGAATTCGGGACACCTCACTGGGAAGTAAGTGTTCTGTCCTATGAGCCACTGTTATGAAGAATAATCAAAAGCTGTTTTTATCTCAAGAGTTATTGAAATCATATATATTTATGTGTAAACGTTAAACGTTTAAAACTATAGTGGTCTACCCTTATAAAGATGTCTGACAATCTAACTCACCGAAAAATTATGCTTCAGGCAGTTAATAATCAGTTAGAGTATCAATTCGAATATTAAGTCGAATTGGTCTTTTATTTATACGATGTTCAAAACTATAAGAATAATTTCTGAAAAGTAAGAGCAAGTATTAAAAATAATCATAAAATGATTTAAAAGAAAAAGAAGTTATCTTACGGTAAGAAAAACTGCATCACAAAAACTAGAATTTGAATTGGCAATCCGTTTATGATTGGTTAGAAAACAGAGGAAAACTGTTTTGTAAAATTCAGCTTTAAGCTGTCAAGTAAACGGAATAAGTCTGTAAATAAACGGGAATTTTTGTTAGCATTAATTAAAAACAGAAGAATAGTTTATTTTCTGCAAAGCAGTATTTTCTGTTAAATTTTTGTTGTTGTAGAACTTACATTTATTTTATACAGTGGTTTTATGCATTTATTTTATAATGGTAATTTAGTACCATTACATATTTCGACTTGACTTAGATCACGATTAAATTTTACCACAAATTCACAACTGATAGATGTTGGACAGTTCATGTACTATCCTCCTTCGATTCAGCAACTGAATGCATTGAATAATATTTGATACTGTTTATCACTTAATAAACAGTAGTTTATGATTTTTTTCTTGCTTATATGTCTTTATAAAGAGATTATCTATGTAAAAATGTTGTTGATTTTACTCGCGTTTGTCCAAATTTTTACTTACAATGGAAAAAAAAAGAAAAAAGAGAAGTAAGAAATGTGATTTAAGTAACCTTTTGGGAGTTTTATGGCACTTAATACCTTTTCATTAGACTCTTGCAAATTTTGTTTCATGATCAAAATTCAACAGTTTTTATAACCCATTGAAAACAAATGTAAAGAAAACGCCATTAGCAGTGGGTTAGAGACGTTCAGTGGGCAATTTAACTCTAGCGAATTTTGCCTCATGACCAAAATTCAACAAAAATTAGCAAAAGCTTTTATCACCGACTGAAAAAAAAATATTTAAGTGTTAAGAAATATTTAAAATGTTTCAAAAGGCTCTAGAATTTTTTTCATTTACTTTAACTAATGAAACAGCCATTTTGGTAACAAATAAAAAAAAACAAGTTTACAAAAATAACAAACGTTCTAGAAGTAATTCGTACACAGAAAAAAAAAATAGTCAAAA